CTTGATTTGATTCACATTTTCAAGACCAAGTTCACAGAGAAACAGTTTTTATTTGTTATTTTTTAAAATATGGTCATTCTGAGTTTAACATGTAGGCTAAACGTGAAAATGGTCTTTTACTCCATTTTCTGAATTAGGGGAAATTCTCGGATTAGAAAAGTCAGATCTACTCACGGGCAGTGGCGCAGTGGTGCAGTGGTTAGAGCTGTTGCCTTGTAGCAAGAAGGTTCCTGGGTTCGCTTTTCCCGGCCTGGGATCTTTCTGCATGGAGTTTGCATGTTCTCCCTGTGCATGCGAGGGTTCTCTCCGAGTACTCTGGCTTCCTCCCACAGTCCAAAAACATGACTGTTAGGTTGATTGGTATCTCTAAATTGTCCTTAGGTGTGAGTGTGTGTGTGCATGATTGTTTGTCCTGTGTGTCTCTGTGCTGCCCTGCGATGGACTGGCTCTCTGTCCACGGTGTACCCCGCCTGATTGCCCATTGACCGCTGGAGATAGGCACCAATGTTTTTATACATTTTACATTTTATTTTATACATACATTTTTATACATTTTTTCCACTTTTGAGTATTTTAAAATCTTAATCTAAATGTTTGAATCCTTCAAAGTTGATTTAAAATTCTTTCAAACCTTTTCTGGCTCCTGGATCAAAGCACCATGAGCTTAAACAGGCTTTCAAACGCTTGGTAGAAAGAAAGAATGCATGTGTGTGTAAAGTGTATTATAACAAAGTGAAGAAAGTCAGTAAGTCAATATTCATTAGGTGTGTTTGAAAACTCACTTAGCATGTAGCTATGTATAATGAACTTATGTATTTAAAGCAACTTACAGGGAATCAACCAGAGGGCTGAATGCAAATTATGCACAGCTGGGATCACATCTATTTTTCTGAAATTAACAAGGTTTAAATCAGTGGCTACCATACTGTTCAGCTGTTGATTGCCAAAATAAAAGTCTCAGAGACTTTTAAACCCAATTAATGCCATTTGAATGATAAAACACTTGACAGAATGTCGTTAAACAAAGCACCTTGTCAGTTAATGTGTTTATGTTTATCTGTTTGTCTCTTTGTAACACTTATAAACAGACTGTGATTGTCTATTGTTGGAACTTAGATGAAGATCAGATCACATTTAAGACCGATTTGTGCAGAAATTCGTTTAATTCCAAACGGTTCACACATTTTCTTGCACATGTATTTAGTTTGCACTTTAAAATTGTAACTTTAATCTCAATAGAATATTTAGATGTCACTTGAAACGACTTGTGTATTTTTCTAAGAATTTCCCAAATAAGTTCATTTTTTGTTGGTTAGAAATCAGAATGAATCTGTTGACTTTCGTGCCATCCAGAGTTAACTTTTAACTTTGAAGTTTAAGTTTTTTAGGGAAGACAACAAAGATGTCTTTTTTTCCCTTTAAGCTGAATGTCTTTTGATGTACACGTCTGTGAACTTTTCAGTCTCGCAGATAAAAGGAGTTTGAAAGTTAAACATCTTTGTAAGAGGCAGAAATCAGAAGCAAAGGGTAGAGCTCAGGGAGGAGCACTCCCAACACCCAGGGGAGTGAGATAGAGGTAGGAGCTGGCGCCGGATCAGGTGTAGACTGGAGATTATGAGGTGATATCAAATAGTGTTGTCACAAAACAGTGGGGCTAACCCCACTGTGGAACATAGGTGAAAAGAGTGTTGGAACACCTTGAAGCAGCTGAAAATTTGCATCCCAGAGGATGAGGATCCAGCAGCAGGTGGTACATGTTTTCCCAGGCCCATCAGACAAGACATGTCCAGGAGCAAGGTAACAGCGGCAGGAAGCTGAGAGAGCACTTAATCATGTTCAACATAAACATGTCAGCACACAAGGGTGTAGTGAGAGTCTAAACTTTACTCCTGCCTCTGCTGACCTCCACGAGTCAAACAACTGGACAACTTTTCTTTTTTTTTTGCCCACAAAACAAAGCTACACTTCCTAGAGGTCTGGACTGAAGCATCTGGGATTCTGACATCTGAAATATAATTTAATCTTTCCTCTGATTATTTTAAATGGACCAAATCAGTTGTTGGGTGTAACACGATGAACATTTTATTATTGATTTGACAAATAAAAGAAAATGATTATTTTTGCTTGAATAATGTGATAAATTCTTGGTAGAGGAGGTTGGTTCACACAAGGGATGGATGGATGGATGGATGGATGGATGGATGGATGGATGGATGGATGGATGGATGGATGAACGGATGGATGGGTGGATGGATGGACGGATGGATGGATGGACGGATGGATGGATGGATGGATGGACAAACAGAAAGGTGGATGGATGGACGGATGGATGGATGGATGGATGAACGGATGGATGGATGAACGGATGGATGGATGGATGGATGGATAGCCCTTTGAGTTGCAGAGTGGTGCAGTTGGTAGAATTGCTTCCTCACAGTAAAAAGGTTGCAGGTTTAAATCCTGCCATGCACGAGTTCTCTCCAGGTACTCCCACAGACAAAACACATGAATTCCAGGTTAATTGGAAACGCTAAATCACCTCTGTAGTGTGTGACTGTGATGAACTGGCGACCTGTTCAGGGAGTTTCCCGCCTCTCACCCAATGAATGCTGGAATAGCAGCTTCCCTCAACCCTATTGAGCTAAAGCTGTCAAGCTAATGATTGAGTGAGTAAAGAGTTTAAAATAACCCTTTAAATCAATCTGCTGTTTCCTGAGAGAGTAAACAGAGGTGCCGTTGTCCGTTCACGCATGACAAGAAGTCCACACACATTTATCATGTGGGATCAAGCACCTGCCTCACGACACAGTGATCACAGCTAACCAAGTCATTTTTATGTCAAAGCTGCAGTTTCTAACAAGCTGTTGGTTTCTACCTACCATCAATGCTTTTGTTTTTATTTTCAGTTCCTTTCCTGGAAAAGTAAACAACCTCTTGTTGAGCTGCCCCACTCATTAGACCTCTATTGGCTGCACGGCTTTTTGTATAAAGCAGGTCAGTGTTTTGCCAACTCGCTTCACTGATTGTGCTACACAGCACCTGTGTAAAACCAGTTCAGTGGGCACAGCTAAACAAAATTAAACAAAGATTATGGGGTTTTAGAGAGAAGTAACTGATGAATATGCATGGGAAAAGATGAGATTTAGCAAGATTTTGTCCTCATTTAACAGATTACTGACAGCATATTCTAATGTAACAGATTACTGATAAATCAGACCAAGGTGGTCTGAGGCAAGGTCAAGTCCTCCCTGTAGGGACTGATGGAGACTAGCAACAGGATGAGCCTGCGTTTAATCATTCTTAATGAAGCACCAGATGTTTTAGCAGTCAAGACATTAATATCAATTCAATAATAATATCAATTTTTACGTAACAAAGTCAACAGTAAATAGATAAATGAGCAGATGGACCCGTTCCCCCTTGTGCTGGTGTATTTATTGCATTTTTGTGCTGCTGCTGTGCTGACACAGGAAATGAAGTGAGCCGGTATCATGCAGCAATAACACTGAGTTGGATGATGAAGTTCTGATCATAGATAGCGGCAGAGTTGGAGGCACGATGAATCAGAAGCCAGCAAACACACACGTTCACACACACACACACACACACACACACACACACACACACACACACACACACACACACACACACACACACACACACACACACACACACACACACACACACACACTTACAGGCTGATCAATACACACCAGTACGCCACATCAACGACCGGTACAGAAAACACACACACCGTCTCTGTCAATTTCTTCTTTAATCAGTGGTGATGAAACGTCTGTGCTTGCTGTGAGTTCGGAAAATAAATGATTCAACACCAATGAGTTGTGTTCACTTTCTTGATTTTACAAGAGTTTGTGGGGTTTGCTTCACATGAAAATCTTGAAAAAACCAGCTGCGCGGTCAAAAATCACTTTAATTTAATGAATCTTTTTCATAATAAAGACAACAGGATATTTGGCTGTGGTGTTGCTGCAGTTGTTGCAGAATTGTTGGTCACAAATTCACGAAAACAAACTGCTTTCAGGTGAATTGGTAAAATAAAGTTAAATAAATGATGCAACACTGCCACCCTGTGGACGCAAAAATAATGCAGCAGCTTAAAAAATAACCTGAACAAGAAATTTACTAATTAATCAATTCCCTTATCAAGATTCATATACAAGGTTGTTACTGAGCCCAGAAATTTAATTTGTAAGACAATGAGCACTTTCAATACATTTTAGTTTCTGGCCCAAAACTTTAGAATAACAATGACGTGTGACCCTGAACAGCACCAACTCAATTATGCAGACCAGGCTAGTAAAGAAGAGCATACCAAAATACAAACAGCCTTAATTCATTGCACTACTTCTATCAATTTGTGCTTCCATTTTTTAGCTTTTACATCAATAATAGTAAAACAAATCTATTAGTAATTGCTTTTCTATTTTATTTCATTTCTGGAGATCATCCCATAGCCCTGACTTTGAGATGAACTGTTCTGGACAATAAAACATTTCTAAAGTTTTAGCATCAATGAATAGGAATCAATGAGTAAGAATTATCTTTCAGGTTGCGCAAAAGTTTAAATTGGCCTAAAGAGGATTTTTCAGCATGATTTGAAGGATTTAGCTTTTTCCCCCCACTAAAATAGCCTCATCTATCTGTCATTTTTGCTATTTTTTGCACCTCTTGAGGTCATACGGTGCAAAACAGAAAGAAAACAAAATAAAAAGATCACTTTTAAATTAACATCAAGAAGTAAGGTTTTAAATAAACTAACAAAATGCATTTAATGCAAACAAATATAGCCTAAAAAGTTAGTGTCGATAAAAAAAATAAAAAAGTTGCTACCAAACTTGATGCAGATTTTATTTTATTCAGACTACCTGCAATATTTTATTAGGCATTTAAATATTACATTTCATATTACAGATAAATAGCATATTCTATTGTAACATTTACGATAACTAATTTGTTCATTTTTGCAGCACCAAATGCCCTCATAAAAACTGTAGTTTAGCTTCCTGCCAGCAGGGGCCACCATTAAGCATGGTGTTTTTAAAAGAGAAACAAATATGTAAGAGCTTCTATTTTTACATTATCCTGAGTGGTTCCCCCTCCGGACAAACAAACAACAGTATTGAACTCTTCTTCCTATTTTCTGCAACAGCACTGCCCCCCAGTGGCGGCGCGTGAGTATTACAACCCTCTCTCTTGTGCCTGCCTCCGAGGCTCCACAAAGTGCAGCAGCAGCAGCAAGTTGGATGTTCACAGCGGGGACTGGCCGCGTTTCCTCCACTTCAGAACCGTTTCTTTCTAAAAAGGCGCGACTGGTAGAGGGCAGCCACCGCGGAAATGGGCTGACGACTTCATGCGGCTCTAACTGAGTCACATGGTGGCGAACGGATGGATATTCAGCCCATAATAACCAGAGTTCGGGGAGACGTTTTAACCAGGCGCCTGTTTTAGACCACAGATCCACCTGCTGACTCCAGGGATTCTCCTCTCAGGATGCCTCACAAGAGCAAAAAGGAGAAGGTATTGGTTTGAAATAGAAATATCCGAAAGTTTAAAAGGAATATTAAATATTTTGTAAATTATGTTGTTTTATTAAGGATTCCTTAAAATCTGGAAGATCCAAAAAATCTGGAGGTAAAAATGGACCCACAGATGACCAAGAAGTAAGTTTATTAGAACTTTTTATTGTTCACAGGGGTTTTGAATGTGTACTACATAATAGCCAATAACTGGTGAAGAGCAATAAGCTTCAAATTTTTAAATGTAAACTTTTTTTGTTCTTATAGGCATTTATAAATCTGCTTTCACAGGTATTTTTTTAACGATTTTTGTTATTTTTAAGTAGTTCAAGTACAGGAAGTTTTTGTGGTCATGGCAAACATGATTTGCACTTGTATTCTCTGCAAACATTCCCTTTAAGCTGCAATCTAATTCAGTTTTTGCTCAGCTTTTACGCGTCCTCTCTCTGACCAGTCACTTTATTTTTATGTTTCTCCTGCTAATATTCTGGGAAAGTTGCTCACATGAGACACAGCATGATCTTGTGACTTTATTTGCTTTGAAAACACACAATCTCTATTATAATTAGAGGCTCTGTAGAAGTTATTTTTGCCTGTGATTTTTCTGGAGTGAATTGTATGTAGAAGATGAACTCAGTTAACTTTCTCTACTGTCACTTTTATTATAAAATTGCCATTTTTCTGAATTCAAGGTTAAAAAAAATCACCATTGCACACTGTTTAACAGATGTGGTATAGTACACCTCCGGCTGTGATCGTGTTGCCTTACGAAGCATCACCTGATCTGATTCGAAAAGGAACCTGACCCTGGACAACAACCTTCCTCTTCTTTCTTAGCCTTTCCTGAATCCACTCGTCTAGATTCATTATTTCCCTGAGTGCAGGGATTACTTAGCCCCACTTGTCTCGTGTAACAGCGTCCTTTCCTTTAAGATACTTATTTAAAAAAAACATGTTTCTGCAGGGCTCTGCTAAGAAAGCACCTCCTGCGACTCAGCTGCTGAGGGTGAAGCAGCCGGGGTCACACTCAGCCGTGAAGAGGGAGAAGAGGTTCAGCACTTCCTCCTTTCCTCTCAGTGCTAACAGAGAGCTGCAGAAGCTACCCGCTCTTGCAGGTATGCCCTCCTAATAGGAGATATTGATCTTTTTCCGAGTGCTGCGTCACTCACAGACTTTTACATGGCTTCACGTAAAACTAATAAGCACAAGTAAGCAACTTTTCCTATAATACATGATATTTTAAATCTAGTATTTCATGTTTGACCTGTATAGAGTTATATTAACAATTCATAATGTCTGTGGATCTTCATAAGCACCTTTTTCACCTCCAGAGCTCTGCTCACTACATTATTGATGGACACACAAAAACTGCCCATCCGCTTGGTCTCTAATGCAAATGATGTGCAATCAGCTGCATCTCCATCCTTACCTGAGAGAAACAGATACCCCCACACCTCGAACGACTCTTTCATGCAGGATTTGTCTGACTCGCTGAACTGACAGGAGACCAGGAGGCAGCAGAGAAATCTGGGCCATCCAATAATAACTCGAACAAAAAAAAGAAAGATGAAACCCCAAATCCAGCATCAGGCATCTTTGGTAAACAGTCTTGAACAAGTCGTTGTCCTAACGCAGTCTGCTCCAGCAGCACAAGTAATCAGCGATTATTGAGAATCGATCGCTTTAATTGATTGTGATTAAACAAGCAAGCTGGTCGCACAGCCAGCTTTGTTTTGGTATTTCTTTCAAGTTTCCATTACCAATCCAAACACACCCACATCACCCCGCTTCTCCTCCAGCTTCACTGGCTGCCAGTCAACTTCAGGGTTCATTTCAAGATCCTGGTTCTGGTCTATAGGGCCTTACATGGACAAGCACCATCTTACACTGGTGATCTTCTTAGTCGCTACAGCCCCAGCAGGTCCCTGAGGTCCAGTGATTAAAGCCTACTGGTTGTGCAGTGCACCAGGCTAAAGACCAAAGGTGACAGTTCATTTGCTGCTGTGGCCCCCAGACTCAGGACCTCTCTCCCCCTGAGCCTGAGATCAGTGGACTCAGTGGTCTCCTTTAAAAAGCAGCTGAAGACTCACTTGTTCAAGCTGGATTTTGTATGACCTTCTTCACCACTCTCTCTTTATTCTGCTCTCCCCACCTATTCCACCTTCCTCAGGATCCACTGATTTCTCTATTTCCTATTCACTCTCTCTTTCTTAACATATTTTTTAATCACAATTGTCTAATTTTGCTCATTTAAAAAAATATTTTTAACCATTTTCTAAATTCTTTTTTATATTTTTACATTTTTTGTTTTTGTGAAGCGCCTCGTGATTTTTATCTTGAGAGGCGCTATAGAAATGATACTTTCTTCTTCTTCTTCTTTCTTCTTCTTCAATCGACTAAATTAGTTCATATCACACTGACAGTGAGGCTGAGGTTTTGAACATGTGCATCAATCTTTCATGCCTCCTCTGTTTACACGGAGCGTTACAAGCAGGATCTGGCCTGAGTGATTTCCTGTAAACTATACGCAGCTTTGTTCGGAAGACCCGGATGAGCGTGGTGACGTTATGGAGGAGTCCAAGCATGACCAACCTGCAGACTGAGGGGGTGTGGCTTATGCTACCCCCAAATTGGTCTCTGCTGCAAATGAAACTGATGAAGGTGATTGTTTGCAGATTTAGTATCAAGACACATTTCACATATCTGAGATGGAGCAAATCTTAATTAGATACACCTGCTCAGTTACTTATTTACACGGATATAATTGACCAATAACATGACACCTCCTGAGTGCATGCAGACCTCTAGATGTGGTGAAGATGACTTGCTGAAGTTCAAACCAAGAAGCAGAATGGAGAAGAAGAGTGACTTTTAGGACTTTAAATGTGTTTGTACCAAAAGGGCTGGGGCCTCATTTATCAAGCTTGCTTACGCACAAAACGGGGTGGGAAAACTGCGTAAGCAACTTTCCACGCAAACTTTGGGATTTATGAAAGAAAACTTAGCGGAAAAATGTGCGCAACTTTAAGTTGACTAAGGACCTGGCTTACACACATTTTGGACATGGAGAGCACCTGCAGTGCTGCTGCTGAGAAGATAAAATGAAGAAATCCTGCAGCATTATCACTTGTACTGCTTCGTTTTCATACAGAACAAGACCCCCCACACGCACACACACATGCGCGCACACTCACACACACGTGCACAGGTGCACACATACACATGCGCGCACACTCACACACACACACACGCGCACATACACACAGCCTGAAGCGCAAAATACAGAATATCAGCAGCGGGACAGATTGAGACAGAATGTCATGCGTCTGTGACAGTGTGTGTGTCCTGTCACTGTGACCCGATTGATCATGCGCCCTGGCTACATGGACAAGGGAGATCTCCATTTGGCTGACTGGTTAGCACGCGTGAATTTCACCTGGGAGTCTGGGGGATTGAATCCTGACCGGATCATTTTTTTATATCCGCCACAGATCTCTCTGAAGAACTCAGCATCAAGGGCGTCAGTTTGTTTTCAGAATTGCTGGGGACAATAACCATACACTTGAGTGGGGTTTAAAAATTGCTGGGGACAATAAAGTAGGCTAGCACAGGGGTCGGCAATCCGCGGCTCTGGAGCCGCATGCGGCTCTTCCATCCATCTGATGCAACTCTCTGTGCTTGTAAAATAATAAATGGATATTTAAATAAAATGCTTTATATTTTACTGCATTAATTTTACACCTGTATGCCAATTCTAAATGTAAAGATTGTCTGCGTAAACCTGAACAGGTCCAACCCGGTCTGCGGTGGTTGACCGGTCACGCTTGTGCGTAATCATAGGTGCTTTATGAGCTGAAGAGGATGTGAGATTCTGGGATTCTCCTCAGACGGCTCCTGGATGTGTCGCCACATTGGAGCCAGGAACAAGCGCTATTCAGCCAAAGTTTCATCATCAGGGAACATTTTCTAAGTGACAAGTCTCTCTGAGAGACAGGGTTTGGAAAACACTCGCTTCAGTGGGAGGAACCTTCCCGCATGCGCTCTGGTTCTCTGCGTGGCTCTGGGGTTAATCAAGTTTAATTGTTTCTCTTTGCAACAATCTTCACAGGAAGGCAAAACAGTTAAACGGCAGGTTACATATATTTCCATTTGACTGTTTATTTTGACAGATGTACTCAAGGATGTTGCTTGGTTTGAAAAAAATACCCCGACGCACACGGATGCTCATGGATGAGCTGACATTTTAATCGTTAACGCACACGCGGAGGTAAAATATTCCCATCAGAACATCAGAGCTCTTTATACTGGACACTGTGTTCAGCGCGGCTCGGAGCGCCCCCGGTGGACAGTGAGCTGAAGATCTGGGGTTCGCAGTGCAGCGCAGTGCAGAACCACGCGCATGCGATGATTTCCTCCCACTGAAGCGTTCTGGAAACCCGGTCTCTCTGAGGGATGTGTCACTTGGAAAATGTTCTTTTTATGAAATTATGAAACTTTGGCTGAACAGCGCTTGTTCCCGTCTTCCGCATGAAGCGTAGAGACATTTGATCACGCACAAAGTTTATGTGGAGCAGAAGCGGTCGGGCCACGGCAGGTAAAATGTTCCTAGCCTACATGAAGTGAAACTGTTTAATTGTAACATTAATGTGTTACTGGACACGCTGGTCTGGTTGGTTAGACCAGTGTTTGAAGTGGAAAACACACACACACACACACTCACTCACTCACTCACTCACTCACTCACTCACACACACACACACACACACACACACACACACACACACACACACACACACACACACACACACACACACACACACACACACACACACCAATTAAAATATAAAATAATGCTGATAGCGTGGACTAGAAGACAGGTGATGGTTTATGTATTTAAATGATGATCAGGCTGATGTAAAATGTAATCTCCATCCACATCCAGACACAATTATCCTCTAGTCTTTCTCTAGTCGCTCTGCTCTTGTCTGGGCTGATCAGCTGATGGTGCGCGCGCGCGCCTAACTAGCGGCTGATGCACATTTTATGCATTTGGAGAGGTGGACTGGATGCTGTGCGTTTACTGGAAGATGGTCCACTTAACGCACGGGTGTAGACTACATATTAATGACAAATGAATGAAAATTAAATTGTGAGTTTTTACTTCATATTTTAGTAATAAAAATGACGGGGGAACACATTTATGACATCTTTTTAAACGAAATTTTCTAGCGCGACCTGCCTGCTTCACTTAAGTCACTGCTTATTAAGGTCCGTCCAAAATTACCGTGGGAAACGGGTAATAATGGTTCTTTGATGGGAACAGGGTGCCGACCCCTGGATAAGATCTGAGCTGGTAAAACAAAAATCCTCATCAGCAGGCGTTTTTGAAAGTGGGGGGGACACAGCTGCCAATCACAAATTTTGCCGGGGACATGTCCCCGGCGTCCCCGGTTAAAATGACGCCTATGCTCAGCATTGACGGCTTCAGCAACGCTGTGCCACTCCGTTGATTTTCTCTCGTTTGTTTTGCAAAAGCACTTCCTTTCATTTCTCCACCTCACCCACAGGTACCTGAATTTATGCTTGTGAAATAGCGCTTCCTTGGTCTGTGGTCGTGATCGAAATGCTGCAACAAGCCGGCTTATGTATATGCATGAGATCCACAAGGCACTTTGCATTGACCATTTATGGCAGTAAGTGGGCGTGGTGAGGGTGGGATGTGACTAAAATGCAGCTGAGAAACATTTCTAGATAGTTTCCGATTTATGAAGCGGAGATTGCATGCAGCTGGGCGCGTACTCCATGTTTGATAGATCACAAACCTACTTGGCGTAAGTACTTTTTTTTTTTTTTTGCTGAGCTTAAGTACGATTTTAGTAAGGATTCTACGCAATGTTTGATAAATGAGACCCATGGTCTGCCTGTTTCAGAATTTACTGAACTACTGGGATTTTCACCCACAACTATCTTTATGGTCTCAGTTTCGGCTGCAGCATTCAGATGTTTGGGCCAGAATTTGGTGTGAACGACATGAAAAGATGGATAGATCCTTCCTTCTAGTAATGGTTCAGACTGCTGGTGGTGTAAAAGCATAGGGGGTAGAGTCCCTGGCCCATTTTGTACCCCATCAGTTCAGCTGATATATCCAGTCGATATATATATTTTTTTTAAGTATTGGCACTAGCCAACATACCTTTGGCAGAGCCAGTTTAAAGTCAGGCACATCTGCAGATCCAGATAGGAGGTTTCAATAATCAGTCTCACAAATGTTGGGGTTGTTGTTATATTTCAGCTGCTAAGTCAAGAGAACTAAATACATTTTATTTTTGATATATTTCAGTTATAGACCCAGTGCATGTTATCATTTACATCCGGGTAAACGCGCACATCCACACTAGCAGGGCAAGAACCCTGTCGTTACCCAGAGCTGTATCTCTGTTATTAAAGTTACAACATCAAGCCTCGGGATTTAGATCTCACTACTTTAGATAATCTAACACGTTTTTGTGCAGATGAACAAAAAATAAAAACATCTCAAATCTAACTGTGTTTAGCACAAAGCTTCCAGATGCATTTGAAATTGCTAGAAAGCTGTGAGACAACACATTTCAGAACTGGTGTTACACCAAATTCTGCGACCCATCACAATTTGTGACCCCAGGGGGCAGTGTTGTGTTTGTTGCATCTGTACATCCTGAATTGGCATAAAAGAAGAAGATACTACGTTAAAACCGTAAACTATGTAAGCATTGAGGAAGTTCTGCGGCGTGGACCGTGGATATTAAAAAGAGTGTTTGTTAATGTTTATTTCAAACAAACGGGACAATAAATGTAGCGATACCCAGGGCTTTGACAAGAAATGTTTGCTAACATTAAACATTGATTTTACAACATGCGAGGTCCGCAGGTAAAATGTTCAGAACTTCCATTTATTGAAATAAATTGTTGTGATCTACATCCTCAGTTTAGTAGAAACCACTGCAGATAATCTGGTTGCTACATATTTTTTTTCCTGTCACTCCAATGCCACTCATATGTACTGGTGGAGATAAAAGGGAAATAAAATGACACAAACATCACGAAACACCTTTTGTTGTTATTATCTTTAGTGAAAATTAAAGACATCTGCATTATTACTGAGATCCAGATGGTCACATTCTGTGATAGCCATTATCATGTTGTGTGACCATGGTCCGCACCGCACAACTTCCTCAAAGCTTAAGTAGTTTACGGTTTAAAAGTAGCATCTTCTTTTATGCCAATTCAGGATGTACAGATGCAACAAAACGCAACACTGCCCCCTGGGGTCACAAATTGTGATGGGTCGCAGAATTTGGTGTAACACCTGCCGCCTGGACCTCTCACAGCTGAACCAAAGGGGTTACAGATCTCTTCAGAGTTTTGCGGGTTGATGCTGAAGGATCACTGTGACACTACTTGTCTTTGGAGACATATGCTCCATTTATTCTGATGAGCAACGTAAACAGAGACACAAAAGAACGACAATAGCGGCTGCCCACTCCGATTACACATTTTGTGTAATTATTATAACAAAACTGTTGCCGCGGGTCACACACAGAACTACACACCACATCAGCGCTGCCATTTTTACACACGTTTATTACCCAGGACTGGTCAGCAGCACATCTCCTCTCCGCTGCTGGATCCACTTGGTCAGTCGGTTCTCCCCGGCCGGCTCCTCGTTCCCGCTGACACGCAAAATTATATTAAAAAAGCACATAAGTCAGTAGACGGCTATACCTTGTTTCTGGACATGTGGGGCAGATATTTTACATTTTATCCTGCCATGAGACTTTGTCTGCCACGATGTGGGTGGTTTACTAGAACTAGCTGTTAACCACTGCTTTCAGCGTGTTTGATCAGCTGGAAACCTGTAAAATTTAACTTTACTGCCCTTTCATCTACTTGTGCAGCCTACAGATCTACTTGTAACCATAACATATAAAATCACGCCATATTTTGCTCTGTTTATTGGAAACTAACAGACAAACACAGCTGTGGTCAACGGTGAGGTGCCATCTTCTTGCCCTCCAGCCTGCGAGTTCCAGTCCAGGGGTGCGAGTGCATAGGGTGTCCCAAGTGCGGAAGTTGGCCACGCCTCTTTTGCACCCTTGATCCGCACTTTGCCCAAGTCCGCATCGATTCAGACTTGGGCAAAGTGCCCACAATCCATTGCTGCATGGTCATTTTCAGAAGAAGGCGGATCAATGGCTCAAGTGCCTTTTCTGTAAATATCTATTTTTAAACGAAATAATTTTTTTAAGGAAGATTAATGATATTTAATCATGTTTTGAATGTTTCAGACTAAGATTTAATGTGAACAGCAACGAATGTCAATTTTATCTGTTGTTTGAATGTTGTTAATAAAGATTTTTTTTAAAGTAGAACAAACCAAGACCAGGACCTGGCATGCGTCGTGGTTGATAAAGCAACAGTTACTGTCCCGATTTGGCAATTATTTGCACACTTGTGTACTACACACTCAAAGCCTTACTGCACATTTCCTCCAAGTGCACTTTGCTGAAGACCATATACGAGTATTAGGATTGGGCCATGGAATGGCTTTTTGTTTAGAAAAATGGGTTGCAGTACCCAAATTTGACCACAGGATTTCATTCTTATATCATTCTTACATATTGCACAGTTAAGTAGGTAGATAATAGAATTAATCTTGTGTTTCCCCTAGCAACTTTTCCAGCTGTGGCACTAGTAGTCGATGGGGGTGGGGGCATTTTGTAGGCGTGGTGCTGGAATTTCAGCCGTGGTGCAGCGCCATGGTAAAGCCCGTGCTGTAACAACACTGATGTGGAATAACGTTTTCATTTCTAAAAGAATTACTTGCACATCTAAATGAGTTTGCACAGCAAAACAATATATAAAAAGAATCTATGTGGTTCAGTTAGGCACATTTATTTATTTATTTTTTGCATGTTTGGTAAAAAAAAACCACTGGGGATATACGATCAAAATGTTCCAACAAGGAGAGTTTCTGTCAGCCTTTTACTGCAGTGTTTGTTTTTATGAGCATTCATAAGAGATGGAGACAAATGACTCATCCATGATTCAAGTAGCCAGTTAATCAAAAAATATGGAGTTATTTAAATGAGATGGCTCCAGGTTTATAGTGTGTGAAGCTGCTGTGTGGACAAAATGTTGTCAGTAGGAAGTTCATGCATGTTTGATGAAGAGGATTAAACAATCAGCTTCGTCAGGTGTTGATAAAACATTTAGTGACTGGGTTTATTTTTCCAAGGTCTCGCTCAAATGGTTCAGCTTCTGCTGCCCTCTGGTGGACAAATAGTTTTACATGATTGTTTTATTATGCAGATTTGTAAAAAAAAATAAAATAAAACGAAGTAAATTTTTAGTGTTTGGCGTAAAAGCAATGTATTCAGAGCAGAGATGTGTCACACTCGCCACACAAATGCAGCTTTTAGCTGAAATGGTAGATTTATAGCCATTACCAAATATTGAATAAATAAGACTATAGCATGTTTTTCTACATAAATATCTGCAGGGTTCATCTTTAGCATTGCATGATTTTGTATAGAGTCAGTATGGAAGTGGCGGCTCTGGAAATGCAGAGACGCCTGTTGTCATGGCTGTGGAATGTAATGGCACCTCTTGAAGAGGTTTTGGTCCTCCAGTGAGAGAATGTAAAGAGTAGGAATGCATCTCTCATCTCTATCCTGGTCCCCTCTTTAATTGCTTTTCCTGTTTTCTTGCCAGTTTGAATCCATAGTGTTAAAAAAATACAAGGAAGGAAAACCTGACAAAAAACTAACAAGTGCAATTAAGAGTCAAGAAAAGCTGCTAAAAATGACTGTTTATTTCATTTTGATAATTTGTCTGTGTCTAATGTTAAAAAAACAAGGACCTCAAATAACTGTGAAAATGATTTTATACACACCACGCTGTCATAAAATAGGTCTGTTTTGTCTTGTGGTGTGACTGTGGTTTTGCTGTGTAAGTCCTCTGATAAATCACATGAAAATACGGACAGCTACTTCATTATGTAAAGATGAAAAGCTGAGTCTTTGCATATGCTGCAAACATCCATGAAGTGATGACTCAATGCATGCTAGCCACATAGCAGTGGCTAAGAAAACGACTTCCTTGATTTATGTGTTGCATGTAATCACAAAAGTGTAATTTTTGCATTTGGGCAATCAGATAAACCTTCAGCACGGAGCTGCTGCAGCAGTTTCCTGTGCCGAGTCCCTTTGCGATTGATTTTCTGTCCACTCACTTTCATTTCCTGTTCAGAGCTAATTTTGCTTAGACGTCACTTGCAACAAGAAAAAAAATCCTGCAAACTCTGCCACTGTCTTGAATAACTTGTGACTCATTAAACCATCTGCGCACTGAAAGCGACTGATGTGGTTTGGTTTTGTCTGTCTATTTTATATGTTTTAAACTCTTGGATCAAATAATCCCATCATGCACGTTTTATTCTTGTGCAATAAATAATATCAGCAAAGCTTTAGCTAAATTTCTGTGGCTTTTCTTGCTGGAGTTTGTGCCTTTAGTCGCCCGGTATTCATGTGGTTTTATCTTGGCTCTGTTCTTTGTTGAATCTGTAGACTTGAGGCCCACTCTGACCCTCTTTCCCACCTCTTTTTGATTAAAAACTGTAAAAGATGCCAATAAAAGAATGAAAGAAGATTTAGCCAGAGCCTCTCTCGCTCTATAATTTATATCTAGCTGCTAATCCTAAATCAGATTATTCTGAAACTCTTTTTAATGGCTAAAGTAATCTGATCTGAGATCTGTAGCAGGGCTTTTCTCGCGGAGCGCCACCACGGGCAAGTGATTGAAAAGGAAGCAAGAGAGGGGGGGGGGACTAACCCATCCTCCATTCATCCTATCACATTCCTTTCCTCACAGCAGCCTGCGCTCCTATTGGTCCCAGCAGTATGATCTCAGCCAATCAGCGGACTCAGCTACCGGATACGTCACTAACTAGTCAGTTCCCTCCAGGAGCAGGGGAGCTTCATTTTCTGATCTGGTTTTGTGCTAAAATGGAGGCTGGCCTCTCGCCCTGAGTCGGTCGCCTTCCTGGTTGACGTTTAGATGTTGACATGCAATAAACCCGAAGACAGGATGGTCGTGGATGCACCTAACTCCAACGGGCCGTTTCAGCCGGTGGCTCTTATGCACTTCAGAGGTATGTGATTATTCCTCCAGTATTGTCCTGGGGAATTAGGAGCAGTGTGTTCCTGTGCTCCCGGTCCACTGGTAGCTGCTACATTAGGCAGCTCTCCGCCGCTTCACATTCAGTTTAAACTGGGAAGCAGCTTTGTTGTTTTCCAAAGGAAACAGAAAGGCAGTAGTGCGGTTTTGTGTATGACTACAAGGGAGCGACATAAAAACGTTTTACTAGCTAACCGCTCTCTGCCCATCCCCCCGCCGATGCTAGTGATGTCAAAGGAAGTGACGTCACATCCAAAGGAAAAATCTTAGTTTTTAATGCATTTTCTTTAAATTTGAATTGTGTCTTTATCATTTAGCTTTTATGTGTTTTCGGTTATAAGGAGCAGACTTCCTCTAGCTTTCTGTGTTTTATTTCTTAGCACCTCCGCTTATCGTTTGTGTCACTCAAGCAGCTAGTCTGCCTACAAATTGGTCACAGTGTGTAGGCTGAGGACAGATGCTCCTCTGCAGAAGCAGCAGCCCCTTTCTCCAACGTATCACTGCTTTTTCCCCATTCTTGTTGGCATCCTCTTATTGACATACAGGAACCTTTTAAGAGATTTATCAAAACAGGAAGCTGGATGAAATCTTTGTAAACAAACAGAGCTTTTCAGCCACCATGACCCTGGCCGCCTTTCATCAGCAACGTTTTTGGATCATAACATCTGACTGGGCCCCCTAACGTGCACACAATGCACTCAGTCATGTCTGAAAGGCCTGGTTTGTTACCACTGTACTTGGGCACAGCCGAGCGATTGACGAATCCTCAGGCAATTATTGATCAGTCTCTATTGAGCCGTAGAGACCTTGAATGACAGTCCAGTGTTTTCAGAACAATCAGTCTCTCTCTCTCTGACTCTGGTTGCACAACTTTCATTTACACCAAAATGACTCAGGATCCCTGGAGTGTCATTTAAGCCATAACCTAAAAATAATTGTTTTTTATGTATTCAAATTAACTCTGATTCACCCAGGCATCTTTTTGAATTCCTATAACGAGTGATGTGAAATCTTCCCTTCTGCAGCAACAGCAGATCTTGCAAACTGAGATGCGGCATCAATGCTTTATTTCTTTCTGATATTTCTTTTTTCATGCATTTAATGTAATAGAATGGACTTCATTGATCCCACTGTGGAGAAATTCACTTGTTACAGCAGCACCAACACTTGAAGAATAATTAGAAGAAAAATAATAACTAAAGTACATTTTCATAAAACACCAACTTTATCAGTCAATGTGGCCAAACTGGTTGCTTGCTTTCAAATGTGTGACACACTGTCTCTCTACATGGCTATAAATAGGGTTTGGTCAATGATGACACTGATCATTGATGAAGCATGCTGCTAAACCAGACCTAACTCCAGACTATCAGCTGTTCATTTGACCCTGTTTAGACAGAAAAAACCAAGGAGGCTGTGATTTCCAATGTGACTCCACGTATTTAGTTTCTTTGTTTTACATTAAATAAAATTAAACCCTTTTCTATTCTTCGCTTGTGTTTGTGGGTGTTACAAAAAAAAGAGGCTGTTGGTTTTCCACCTGAGGCTTGTACGAGCTGCATTAATAGAAGTCACATTGTGGTGAACATCAGTTTTAAGACCAGAACACTGGCTCTTTTATCTGCTGAACAACAGCCTGCTGGGTATTTTTGGAGTGCACAAAGAACTTCATAACAGATAAACTTATGTAATCTGAGCAACTTAAAGTGACAGTGTGTAGTTTCCCAGGTGCTAGGGGGCAGTACTTTAAATTATTGCAAGCAAGCATTACGTTTGTGTTCAAGTAACCCCTTCTTTCCACCAGAGCCGTCAGCAGCACGTTACTGCAGCAGCACGTCTTGCTTGCGTAAGCTGCTGCTTGGCCCTTCCCACGAGACGTGAAGCAGCAGGGGAGCAGCTGTCACCGACAGAGCATGAAGTCACACGAGTGACTTCGTCAGTAAACACAACAACAAGCAGGAGAAAATTACAACATGGCTTGTGTATTATGTTCTGTCCGTTTTATAATCGCCAATACAGACCTGAAAAACAAAGGAGACCGCTAGCTAGGTGATAACTTCTCATGGGGCTGCACAGTTAGTAACTTTTTTTTAAAGTAAAGCAAGCGGAAGGCAGTACGTTCTTTATTCTGAAAATCTCGAGAGCTTCGCTCCGTTTCCGTGTCCGATTTCCTGTCTTTCCTTCCACAAAAATGTCGAACTTGACCCGTTTCAGAGGTGTCGCGCGTAGAAAATAGAACCGGCGCGTAAAGGCCGCGACATGCTGCTCCTGAGACGCGGCCGACTCACGCTGCTGACGGCTCCGGTGGAAAAGGTTCTGTTGACTACAGCGGTTCCTATCAGCAGCTATGACGTGCTGCTGCAGTAACGTGCTGCTGACGGCTCCCGTGGAAAGAAGGGGTAAGACCTTACCAACGGATGGCTTTTGGGGTCAAAAATCCCAGGGAGCACAACCTCCAGCAAAATAACAAAAACATCAGATTCCTTTCATCACTTGCAATAAGTGAAGAGGTGAATGTGTAAAACAAAAACTTTTATTAATGGGGAAGATTTTGCAACCATTTGTTACAAATCAATGAATGAATTTTGTCTTCACGGGCTTCCATAGAAGGAAATATGGCATCCAATATGGAGTCGCCCAGAGACTTAGGCCCAGTCTCAATACTCGCACTTCGCCCTGCTGTCTTCAGCAAAGTGCACTTGGAGAAAGTGTGCAGTAAGGTTCAAGTGTGTAAATAATTGAGACAGGGAGCACTGCATCATCCATCGCAATGCATGCCAGGATGCTGGTCGCTGTGAAACTTTTTTCAAAAACCTTTGTTAACAACTTTAAAACAAACAAAGCAATTATTTGAAATATTACTTCATTGCTGCTTTGTCTAAAGCATTCAAAACATCAAATAATCGTCCTAAAATTAACTAATTTCATTAGAAAATACATCTTTTCAGTAAAAGGAACTTACATTATATATATATATATATAGCACATTTTGTCACAATATCAGCCCAGTTTTATGTACCTGACTGATACCGATGATGACTAACACTGGCTGATGCCAATATATCGTGCGTCCCTAGATGATGCACATACAGCAACAGTTAGAAGGAACGATGGATATGAACAACAACATCCTTTTTTTCAAATACCTAATATATTGATATGGGTAAAATTACATTGTAATAGAGTAATAGAATTTATCAATACATTTTTGGTGTACCGCCCATCTCTACTTCCAATAAAGGCTTTGTGGTGGTCAGCTGGTTGTTTACACTTTTTTTTCTCATGTTAAAACTCAGAGTATTTTGTCCCACTTCCTTATTTGTGTGTTTTAGTAATTACACTAATTGCCTTTTTTATTTTAGATTTATCCATGCAGTCTGAAATTACAAAACTTTCTCCTTAAAAATTTAGTTTCTGCACTTCAACAAAAATTTTAGGGTATCTAAACAACAACCTGAATTTCATGAAGTACAAAAAAAATACACATTTTGATTGAAGAAAACCATGCAACAGTGGATGGACGGCCAGAAGTGGTTTATTACTTACTAATGCGAGTCTTTAAAGGATAAATGAGTCTAAATAACCAACGCTGTCTTCTTCCTGTATGGACATTGTTTACAATTGAAAAAAGATTAGGCGAATCTGCAGAAATCTTCATGCATAAAAGGTCAAGGCCGGAACCGGTTGGTGGATGAATGCTTCCTTTGTAAACACCAGTTGGGACTACCTTAGAAACGATTGAGACTTTGATTCGGATGGCCTTTAGTATTTTGCTTTGCAGAGCCTGCTGCAGAGTTATAACCTTCTTCTGCATGCAGATGATAGACCAATGTTCATGTTACGTCTGTTTTATCTGGAAAACTAGACTAGAAGGGCCATTGCAGATACATGTTAAACTTAATGGTCACTTGAGCTTTTTTTGCTTTGGTTTAAGAGTAAAGCTGAGATAATTATATTTAAAAATTCTATAGAGTTGACATCCCTCCTAAGATTCTGCTTAAGGCTCAGTTATTTCAGTAGATAAAAGTGCAGGTCAGAAGTGTAATCCCTAGAGAAGTTGCTCTAGGGTGCCATGTTCTTAGCTCTTGTGTGCAGGCAGTGATTAGAAACACAGAGCTCACTTATCTTCCATCAGATACAGAACATACTGAACCAGCAGAGAGAGACTGTAATAACTGAGCTAACCTGATTTCAGTGTTATTTTGTGGAGTCTTTGCAAATCATCAGCAACCATACGAGAGAACAAAACGACTTCTGTTGGTATGATTTCTAAATTATTCCGTGAGTATTAATAAAAAAAAGAACTACAATGGAAAACCAAGCATCTATCTTGTCCTGTTAACGACCAGTCAAGTTGAGCCTAATGCCAGTTGTCTGTTTATTAAGGTGTTTTTGTTTCAGACTGACTAGAACTTCTTGGTAACCTCTTACTTGAGTCATTTTGTTTCATTCTAAACCAAAAGAACGCAAGACAAGTTTCTGAGTATTTTGCTAGAGGTTCTTCTGGTGTCATGTTCCTTGACGACGGTGTTGACAGACCTACTTTTCTGCTTGCATTTTGACTCGAGGTGGGGTTAGTCTTGGTGTATAATTTAAAGCTGCACTTCATGCACATGTGCAAAGCTTCTCCTAGGTGTGACACAACCCTCAATAATACCTGTTCGGATCTTGACCTTCAGGACTGTGAAGGTTGAGCAATATGTAAAATGTCTTCCAACTGATCTTTGTCAGTCCAACAAGTGACAGTGGCTGGTACATTCATGCAGGTTTTGACTGTTTGTGGGCCTGACACGATGTGATCCACCAATCATAATCATTCTTGATCCGTTTACAAGTCCACATGCAAGAGGTTGTTGTTTTCCAAATCTATTTGGCTATTTAATGTGTCAATCAACAAACATCCCTGTTATTGATTCAAGCTACAAACATGACGTTAGGTAGTGGCTCTTTTGACACATCGGACAATAGTTCCAAGACTTTCCCTCAGCAGAGTGTCATTCACCTGGTGGATCACGTAAGATACTGATCAAAAGTTAGAAGCTAATATGAGGATGCTAACAGTTTACGGTGGGGAGGAGACACATCTGAAGAAATTTTTATTGTTTTCAGTGTTATTTTATGTTTGTTAATGTTCACGTTTTTCTGGGGTACTTATTGGACTCTTGTGGGTGTAAAAATACTTTTCTATCAATATGCCTTAAACGACATGACTTAAAATTTAGCATTTACTATGTCTACAGTTAGGATTGTATCCTTGATTGGCACATATCATTGGAATCACAAAAATCCTTGTTTTCTAATGATGTAAAATGTGATGTATGTATAGAGTGTTGCAGAGTTAACCTGCATGTATGTGATGTCACATCCATAAGTCTAATTCATAGGCATAAAAAATGTTCTTGAAAAATGATTGATGAAGGGCTTGGTCTATTGCTGATGTTTGATAAATTCATCTAATCTCCCGATCTTAATGTCTATCCTGAAATGGATGTGTGTGGTGGATTAATTGCTGAATAAATGCATCATGTGCATCTTGATGTTGTATGGGTTTATTTTCTGTCTGCGGTTTGAGAAGTGTTGCAGAAAGCCTCATGGTGCTTTTATCTGTCATAACGATGAGCATGAGAGAGGAGAAACATGGTATATCAAGGTTGTGTTGCATAATTAAATAATTACTGAGTTTGTTATCAATGCACCACATAAGAAAGTAGGAGTTGAGGATGTCTAGAACAGCAGTTTCCTCTTTATGTGAGACTTTGGCTGTGGTGGACAAAGCGAGCATCCTTTATTTCTCGTTTTCGCTCTTTGATGCAAACATCAGTATTGTCACCCCTTTCAGCTCTCCACGGTTTGTTTCTAAACTCTGTTTTCCACTCGCCTCATCTTTGAATGTGTATCTTTTCTGTCTGATTTAGATGTGGCCCCTGCAGAACAGGAGAAGCTCTTCATCCAGAAGCTGCGGCAGTGCTGCGTTCTTTTCGACTTCCTCTCCGACCCTTTGAGTGACCTGAAATGGAAGGAAGTGAAGCGGGCGGCCCTGAGTGAAATGGTGGAGTACATCACCCACAACAGGAATGTCATCACAGAGCCCATCTATCCAGAAGTGGTGCACATGGTCAGTATGAATGAATGTGGAGGAGTCAGCAGAAAAGGCTAAGAACAAATGCAGTTTCAAATTTTTTTATTTTGAATTATTTTTATGTATTAACCTTTTTACGATGGTAAAAAAGTGATTCTATTTTTTGAGAATAATTATGATTTTGGGTGAGTTTTTTGACTAGTTTTTAACCTTTATTAAAAACTGTTTATTTTTTTATTTTATTTTTTTTTATCAGATGCAACAATGAACTCCACCCATAAAAATATGTCTTTTCAATAGTTATCCAATTAAAAAGGGCAAATCATAAGCTTTTGTAGAACATTTCAGTTCTGTTTTTCTTTCTGTATTCATATATGAATTTAAAAAGGTGAAATAACTAGAAAATTTCAGGCTTACGATGAATTTTAAAAGTTCACAAGCTTTATTTTGAAACGTCAAAATAGATGTTATTGCATTTAATTCATATAAAACCATAAATAGTTAAATCTACTCATGGGGGTTTGGAGGAAATTTGAGTTCTCTTTCTATTTATGTTTTTGTTTATGTATTAATTTAAAGGCACACTTGGCATTTTTGCTTGCTTTTAGCACCCCCTAGTGTCCACTATTAATTCAGAGGTCAAACTAAAATTTAACTTATCTCCTCGCTGTGGGTTCGTTTGTTTAATTACCTTAATCTATCAGCTGAAATGTCCCTTTAGCCTTCATTATTTTCTACAGGAGTGGTTCATCACTAAATCAAACAAATCAGCTGTGTTTATGATCTAAAACATGCAGAAAACATGTTGAAAGCAGAATGAAGCTCTACTAAGTCAGCTTCCCCCACCAGCAGGCCTGGACCAGCAACTCTGAAGTTGCAATTGCGATGTTCTGGCCATAAAGGGCCTTGTTAAAGGTCATTTTAACACATATTGAATCAAGAAAATGATTTTAAAATATGAAAAAGCTGCATAGTATCCCTTCAAAAAAGAAAAACACAATTTTACCAGGTACAGACAGAATGATGCACTTTATATTTCACAAGCTTTATTCTGAAACATTAACATAGATTTTAATAAATTTCTATGCAAATAATTCATAAAATATATACTGAGGGGAGTGATGTGTAATAGGAAAACATGTACATTTTCTTAATACTGATGTCATTAGACTGAACCTGTATGTAGAATTCTCACTGCAACATTGATGCTCCATTGTCTTCATAGCTGTAATGGTGCGAAGAGCAGCGTGGCTCCGTCTACCTTGTAGCATTTTTCCTCTTTTCCACACAAGGCTTTTAGTGTTTTAGTAGGCCACCTGCACTGTCCCGTGATCCGCCCAGGAGAAACCAGCGGCCCACGGGGGAGTCAGTTGACACGGAGACACCAGGAACACAAGACTCTTAAATAATTGAGGGACAAATGCTTGGAGGCCAGTTGTAAGGACAAAGTTAAGTTCAACGTAAAAGAAAACTCAAACATCAGGTTGAACATTGTTCTGTCCTTTTATAGTTGTAGGTATTGTTCAGTGATAAATTGCGTAAAATACTTATAGTGTCTTTTCTATTTCTTGTCTTTCAGTTTGCTGTAAATATGTTTAGGACATTGCCTCCATCATCCAACCCAACAGGAGCAGAGTTTGATCCTGAGGAGGATGAGCCAACACTTGAAGCTGCGTGGCCTCACCTCCAGGTTCATCCATACTACTACCGTTCTTCTTCAGTGCATTTAAACTTTGAAATCCCTTCCAACATCTGGTTTTCTGTCATTTTGCAGCTCGTCTATGAATTTTTCCTTAGGTTTTTAGAATCACCCGACTTCCAGCCCAATATAGCAAAGAAATACATCGACCAGAAATTTGTTATGCAGGTGCAAAAATATCACATTCTCATTATTATTTTTATGCAGTTCAAGATAAGTCCCTTTAGAGGCAGCAGAGCTGGTGATGTTTTTAGTGTAAAACATGCATTTTTTAAAATTTCAGCTCCTAGAACTGTTCGACAGTGAAGATCCAAGAGAGAGAGACTTCCTGAAAACGACTCTCCACCGGATCTATGGGAAGTTTCTGGGTCTGAGAGCGTACATCAGAAAACAGATCAATAACATTTTCTATAGGTCAGTGCTGTCTTCTGTCACCACTCACACACACACACACACACACACACACACACACACACACACACAGATCTTAGTTTGTTCCACTGAGCAAGGCTCTTTGTTTTTACAGGTTTATCTATGAAACGGAGCACCATAACGGTATAGCCGAACTACTGGAAATACTTGGAAGGTAAAGTGCACACCTACGGCCGTAATTCAGTTTTTTATGTTCTACATCTGAGCCAATAAAAAAGATTCATACTCTTTGTAAATGCTTTAATTTTTTTAAATTATTTTTATATAGTTTTTTTTTTATTTTATTTTTTTAAGTTTCAAATCTTAACCGGAACAAAATGGAGTTTGTTTTAACAATCACAAATCTGTTATAGTTTATATTTGTTACAGAAAAGTGAAAAAAAAAAATGCTAGAATTACGACTTCTCAAAAGTTCTGAGATTTTTTTCCTCATAATTCTCAGATATGAGAAAAAAGCCGAATACAAGTTTTATTTTGGTGGATCGAGGGGAAAAACGGCAGACCCCTGTCAGATCTGTGATCTATGCTTATTCAGACTTGAAAAATCAATCCCATCAACTTGTTTTGTTTATGTTCTGTAGAAAATGTTCCCAAATGGTAACAAACTTAATTCCCTTCCTGTTGTCAAATGTCCTGATGGCTCTTTTTGTGTTTCTTTGTGCAGCATAATCAATGGTTTTGCCTTACCACTGAAGGAGGAGCACAAGATTTTCCTGTTGAAGGTTTTATTGCCTCTGCACAAAGTCAAATCACTCAGTGTCTACCATCCACAGGTATGTCCTTAAGCCTATAATTAAATGAGGAAAGCCGCATCTTTAGTGTCTGACGTAGATTCTGAAAGGTGTACACAGTAAACTCTTTACCACTGAAATTTACTTAGAAACGACTAGATTCGCTGTTTTGCCTGAACCTGCTAGCCTCCGCCTGCAATAAAAATTTCAGTCTTCAAGCATTTGGCTTCCTCAATTGGTTTTCAGATTTAAATGTTGTTTTTGTTTGTTTTACAGCTGGCCTACTGTGTGGTGCAGTTTTTGGAAAAGGACAGCACTCTAACTGAGCCGGTATGTCATCAAAGCGTTGTTCCCGTCTTGTTATCCTCCCTAATGGTTAATAACAACCACCCGTCCTCTCTGACCGGTTATTAACAACTACCTGTCCTCCCATCAGGTGGTAATGGCTCTACTAAAGTACTGGCCAAAGACTCACAGTCCCAAGGAAGTGATGTTCCTCAACGAGCTGGAGGAGATCTTGGATGTCATCGAACCATCAGAGTTTGTTAAAGTTCAGGAACCTCTCTTCAGACAGCTGGCTAAGTGTGTGTCCAGCCCACATTTCCAGGTAAAAAAAACCTTTTTATAATGTAAAATAAAAATGGTAAAAGTTTCTTAGATTAATCCAGTTTGAGTTAATGCAAATAAATCAAATGCAATTCAAATGTTCGCCCGATGAAGAACAGAAATTGGGATTAGTCGTGAGAGACGCACGCATTGAAAGAGACACTCTGACACGTTATCTTGTTGGAATTAATGTGTATATATATGTCGATGGTGCCACCAGAAACATTCAAACCATTTTTAAGAGAAGTTGAGCTTTCAAGTCAACTAAAGTGCGCGACTCAGCACTCGTGCTGATGAAGCATAAACCAAGCTTTAGAAATCAGCCTGAACCTGCTCCGATGTGGGGGGAGTCTCTCTCCCTCCCTTACTCATCTACGTTCTCTCTCTCTGTCCCGGGCTCACCTACGGTGCCATTATTACCGGCTCTACCAGCGCTGTGTGTGGGAACATAAAACAGGGAAAATAACCCGAACATGCAGCTCTGTTAGCCGTGGAGTTGGGCTTGACTCTGGTCACAACACCCCGCTCCACTCCTCTGCGCTGGCTTTTGCCGCTGCCATAACACGGGGAAACCCCCAGATTAAAAAAATAAATAAAAAGTAAAAGTTACGCAACAGATCCTGGATCTGTCAAAACTGCTAAAACCACAGCTTTGAAGGTCACGTGATTGTGCTGTATGAAATTGCGATTTCTGTCCAAAAACGATTATCGTTCAGCCCTATAATATACTGCAGAGAACCTTCGAAATTTCCCTCATATCTTACAAAGGTTTCATCATAGTATCCATCAGCTTCTAACGTTTCATCATCTTATCAGATCCAGCTGCAACACTGCATGTTGCTGATTGACACACGAAAAGCCAGAGTAAAGCCTGGTTTATGCTTCTCCGTCAGCTCCGCAAGGGACAGACACGCACGGATTGACGGAAGCGTTTTGCTCTTTTACTTCTCCGTCTCCTGGAGAGTGTTGCAAAGCAATTCCCCGGCAGGACAACAGAGGGCATAGCGCTGTTCTGTGGTATTCTGTCATGTATCGGTCCAAGGTCGAGTGTTTATATTGTGTTTTTTGTGTATATACGAGACTTTTAACACAGACATATTTGTCTCTCATTCTCCCACCTCTTCATGCACTCGCCACCTCTAAACCCACGTTTCCTGTCATTTCCGTCCACAAATAAAACGCTTGCTGCGCATCTTTTCACTCCTCCAGTCACGGGAGGATGAAACGTTCATATTTTTAGAGTTTTTTCGCGAGGTATTCAAGCTTCTCCGTGTCTGCCGCTAGTTATCCTCGGCTCTCTTTGCAATGGCGGCACTGTAAACAACAGCGGCGTCCTGACCAATCACAAGCTTGTGTAATCCGTTTCGTTCGACGGATGTTTAAAAAAGTGGGCTCGACTCCGTACGTACTTGCGTGCCTGCCGTAGCCCTACGCAAGGACGGATAATGACGTTGCGTGTCTCCACGCTGACGCAGACGGAGAAGCATAAACCAGGCTTAATTCGAAAATCACCAGAATGTCACATAACCAACCCCTCGTGGTCTGCTTCCTCAAACTAAGAACGGTTGTTGTTGGTGAATTTCTGTGTCAGAACAATATGAGTCTGACATAGCAGCGGGACCCTCTATGTGAATTTTTGCACATACGTGCAATGTGCAGCTTTAGTTGTGATGCAATCTAGGGTTGTCACAGTGTGAAAATGTAACCTCGCAGTTATTGTGACCAAAATAATCACGTTTTTTGGTATTATCGCTGTATATTTTCTAAAGGTGTTACATTTTAAGGCACATAAATAAACCCTCTATATCAGGAAATTATCATCCTCAGTTTGTGTCAAAAATTTTATTAAAAGTTATTTTGGAATTATGTTGTTTGTTTACATTTCTTTTCTTTGTCTTTAGAATACCAAAATTTGCCCGTTACTTATTATTTTTTGTCTGTTTGATGTCATTTAAAAAATATGAGATCAGATGATATTCAGTTCTCGAGTAGCCTTCTAATCAAATACCCTTTTACACTTGAGTAATTTCTTGGAGAGCTACTTTTACTTGAGTAAAAGCTGAAGTAGTGCTGCTTTTGAGTACAGTTGTTGGCTACTCTACCCAGCCCCTTCTATAGATCAGGGGCGCCCAAACTGTTTCCCTCGATGGGACAAAACAAAAATCTATATTTCATACTTCTATTTAATATTGCATGATAACTATGTTGTTTTGAGGGTATTACGTTACTAATTATAGCACCAGAAATGTTAGTTTCGGACAACTAAATTTATTTTAGGGCTGCACGAAATTAGGAAAACCTGCAATATTCGATAACTGTGCTTAATATTGCGATATCGATATTACTCACGATAAATGAACAAATACTAAAGTATGCAGTGTTGATGTCGTCTGGCGTGTGTCGTCTGCTCTGGGTTCAAAGCAAACAAAAACTAATGCATGAATTCCATTACAACATAACATTTTTATTGGTAAAATATGCAGCTGCACCTGCTCCTGTATTAGCAGCAAAACAACAAACTGCTTGCATGCAGTTTCTCAGTGACTTTAAAACATCACCTCCACCATAAAACTTTTTCTGATGCTCCAAATACAGAAAAACATCCCTTACCAGGGTTTTTTGAATAAATAAAAAAATCTGAAAATAAGTTTAAATGTTAAATAATAGTTAACATCACTTAAATGCAACAGCAAATTCTCTCATTGCTACTGAACATTTTCTCCACTTAGTGGTTGTGATATAAGGCTGTTGCTGTAATTGGGACGTGAACTGTGCTGGGCCAAACTAGGAGAATATTAAGATTTTCTGAGGGAAAGAGAAAAACAATTGTCTACCTATCAGAAGAGGAACTGGCAAAAAACTGCATGGAAAATATGTGAAAACGTTTGTTTTTATCCCCAAATTGAACAAGTTTACCTAGATCTTTAAAAGCAGCTCAGATGATGAAACTGCAACTATGATTCTGATAACAAGCTAACAAATTGAACTAGCTCCTCTAAGACAACCGGCTAGCAGAGCTTCTGACTGACGGTTTATGTGCAGCAGCAAATCAACTATCCTGATTAACAAGGTTATAAAAGCTCATGAATGAAAAATCACTTTGATGTGTGGGGGAACTTTTCCAGGCCCTCTTTAGCAGGGTGGGACTGGGAGGAGAGTTCTGTAGCCTTTTAGCTGGAAGCTAACCGGAACCTGGGGCTAACATCACCACCCGGTGGAACACTAGCGACATGGAGGTAGGTGGGTTGGCTCACCGGCACGTGTCGGAGTCAGCCCGGTTATTATCAGCTGCTTAACGACACCGAGCGGACTCACATTCACGTTTGAAAGCAGAGCTGATTCCAGAAACCTCAGCACAAAGTGCGTTGGTTAATCTGAGCCAGCATGACGAACGAGGGAAGCGAGCGGAAAGCAAGGGCGGAGCAGAGATGGTGGAATTTTGGGGTAAGGGCCTACGTAGGGGGCGGGCGTATTATGTGAACGGACCCATCTGATTGGCCGCATATCAGAGGGGCTTCATTTGATTGGTCAAATAATACTTCCACGTAAAAAACAGAGCTGGTTTACAAAAAGTTGATGTATGACACGGATGGAAATGTTTGAACCAAACATTTATCGCCCGTTTTGACGTGCTTTGCGATGGGCCTATCGCACGTCCTGTTATCGCGATGATGATAATTTTTCGATATATTGTGCAACCCTAATTTATTTATTTATTTAAATATAATTTTATACGGAGGAATAACCACTTGAGATGAAACATCTCGTTTTCGAGTGGATCCTCCTTTACAACAAAAAGAAGAACAAAAATTAAGAGCAAGACAGCAGAGCAAAAATCAAAACATTACAACAATCATTTACAGACACACACACACCCTCAAAGGCTCACAATACTTCACCCCACACTACACGACCCCAACTAACACGGACAAAACAAAAGCAACAGCCAGTTGAACAAATACAATTAGTAACCAATAGACAATTATTCCTGAAGATGATTGACCAGAGCCCTTCGAAAGTAGTGAATGATGATAATCAACGAATAGATGAAGGAAGATTATTCCAATCACAAGGAGCATTAAAACCAAAAGCATGTTTCCCTACTCTTCTTTTCACTCTAGGAACAACAAAAAAGAGCTGGTCATTATGCTGCAGGCTGTAAAGTGAATTATAGGGAATTAAATGTATTTTAAGATAATCCGGATAATTAAAGTAAAAGTTTTAAAAATGAACTGAAACCAGTGAAACTGTCTGACAGCAGGTGCGAACCAGGACAACTGTCGATACATCACACTTCTATGTGTCCTAAATGGACAACGAAGAACAAAACGACAGAGGCTATTATAAGCAACATCAATAGAGTGCAAGCAGGAGGATGAAGTGTTCTGATAGAAAATGTCAGCATAGTCCAGAATAGGCAGAAGCAGCTGTGTGGCAATTCTTTTCCTAACCAGAAAGTTAAAACAATTAACAGATTGATAGAGGATTTTAAGACGAGAATATAATTTTTTTGTAGTTGATTTATATGTGTTTTAAAGGATGAATCAGGTTCCAGCCAAACACCAAGATATTTTATAGTTTCCGTGGTCTCCAGAGGAGAGGAGTTGAGAAAACAAAGCTTCAGGGTTTTTTCGCCAATATCTAGGGCTTATGAAACGGTAAGGAATATGATTTTGACTTATTAAGGAGAAGTTTATTAGCCAACAGCCACTGCTGAATAGAATTAAAGTCTTTTTGTAGCAAAAAATGTATCTCAGTGAGAGTTGGCTTACTACAATAAATAACTGTGTCATCAGCATAAAGATGAATTTTACAGTCTGTTCAGCACAGGGGCATATCATTAACATAAATAGAAAACAATAAAGGTCCCAAGGAAGAACCTTGAGGGATGTCTTGAGATATTCCAGTAAAATTTGACTGACAGCCCCTGTACAACACACACTTGTGATGATGATGTAGGTAAGAGTTAAACCAAAGTAAGGATGATCTTGAAAGGCCAATAGCATGCAATTTATCCAATAAAAGATAATGGTCAACTAAATCAAATGCTTTGGAGAGATCTAAGAAAATGGCACCAGTGCACAAATTATTATCAAAGCTAGAGAATAGATCATTGGTAAATTTCAAGAGAGCAGTGGTAGTAGAGAAATATTTTTTGAAGCCAGACTGGCACTGAGTGAATAAATTATCGGAGAGATAGTCATAAAGTTGATTGAAGATTAATTTCTCAAAGACTTTAACCATACAGTTAATTATTGATATAGGTTAATTATTGATACATAGTTACTGACGGGTGCAGGAGGGTGCTAGTTAAGAAGATGCTCTCTGAAGAGCAGGGTCTTCAGGAGTTTCTTGAAAATTGAAAAGGAAGCCCCTGTTCTGGTAGTGCTTGGAAGGTCATTCCACATTTGTGGAATGATGCATGAGAAGAGTCTGGATTGTCCTGAGCATGGTGTAGGCACTGCTAGCCGACAAACCTGTGATGACCGGAGCGGCCGGGCCGAGACGTAAGCCTTTGCAAGAGGATTCAGGTTGATGGGAGCCGTACCATGTCGGACTTTGTATGCTAGTGTTAGCAATTTGAATTGTATGCGTGCTGCTAGCAGTAGCCAGTGGAGCTCAATGAACAGAGGGGTGGCGTGTGCTCTTTTTAGCTGATTGAAGACCAGACGCACCGCTGCTTTCTGGACCATTTGAAGAGGTCTCACAGTACAGCCTGGAAGACCAGTTAGAAGGGCATTGCAGTAGTCGAGGCGGGAGATGACAGTAGATTGCACCAGGAGCTGGGTGGCATGTTGTGTTAGGTATGGTCTGATCTTTCGTATGTTATACAGCGCAAAGCGGCATGAACGAGCAACAAAGGCAGCATGATCTCTAAAGGTCAGGTGTTCATTGATCACAACACCCAGATTTCGAACTGCCTTTGAAGGAGCCAGAGATGGGAAGTAATTTTGGATTGAGATATTGTGCTGTATGGATGGTTTTGCTGGGATGACAAGTAGTTCAGTTTTAGAGAGTTTGAGTTGGAGATGGTGGGATTTCATCCATTTTGAAATGCCAGAGAGACAGTTTGATATTCGTGCAGAGACAGTGTGGTCGTCCGGTGGAAATGACAGATAGAGCTGGGTGTCGTCTGCATAGCAGTGGTAGGAGAAGCCATGTAATCGAATGATTTCACCCAGTGAGGTGGTGTATATGGCAAAGAGAAGAGGTCCTAGTACAGAGTAGGGTTGTCACGGTAACCGGTGTAGCGGTAAACCCCAGTAAAAAAGTTAATAATAATAACCGTCTTGTTTCTAAAAAAAACTATAATATCTCGGTGGGTTACCGTGGCTGCGGTGTAGGCGCGGTGACCCTTACCAGCCACCGTATCATCTGCTGAAGTTGCCGGCAGCACATGCGCGCTTTGTTGTTTACAACCAAAACTTTCTTGAAGCTAAAGCTGAAATAATGGCCATAGGAGGAGACGGCAGCGCTCAGGACATTTTTTGTCCCTCAAAGAAGACAAAGTCGGAAGTATGGGCATCTTTTGGATATTTGAAGAATGCCAAGGGACAGTTGATAGAAGACGGCTATCCTGTTTGCAGCACGTGCAGAAAAGTGTCTGTGAAAGGCAGCAACGCTTAGCTATGATAGGCGATGCTGTTAAGTATGACCTCACCCAGGGGGAGCATAGAGATTAAAGAGTAGTGGTCCTAGAATTGAGCCTTGGGGGCCCCCACATGTCATGGTGATCTGCTTTGATTGGCAGTTCCTAATAGAGACAACATAGCCCCTGTCTTTGAGGCCCTGTCCACACGTAGCCGGGGATCTGCCAAAACGTAGATATTTTTCTACGTTTTGGCCTGTCATCCACACGAAAACGGAGTTTTTTCACACGAAAACTGATCTTTTTAAAAACTCCAGCCAAAGTGAAGATCTGTGTTTTCTCCGTTTTGGGTGTCTGCGTGTGGAAGGACAAAACTGGAGTTTTAAGGTCCGCAACGTCACTTTCCGCGACAAAAAATGCTGACATCACGTGTGCGACCTGTGTTTACACTAGCCGGCATCATGGAAGCCCTCAGAGCTGCGCTCTGTCACTACCCGATCCATCAATTCTCCAAGCGCTTTCTGCTTGTTTGTTTTTGCAAGCGGAATTACTGCTCCTTGTGGAAGACCACAGACGAAGGACGAGGTTAAGAACGGGGGAAGTACTGCCGCCTACAGGTCTGGCATGTCCATAACAACGTATTTATCCGGGTACGTGTGGACAGAGTTTGTTTTTAAAACGCGGTGGTGTGGATGCAAGTTTTTGGAGTGGCGGATATTCGTTTTTAAAAAACACCGGCTACGTGTGGACTAGGCCTGAGATAGGATCTGAACCTGCCAAGCAGTGTGCCTGATAGTCCCACCCAGTTTGTGAGTCTGTCCAGAAGGATGTTATGGTCCACAGTATCAAAAGCTGCACTGATGTCAACTGTAGGTGTTTACTGCTACACCGGTAACCGTGATGTCTCTAAAGCAGTCCAAACGATGCTTAATGGGTGTTCTGCAAATCTTGTAGGAGTAAATAATTTTTACTCTGATCCAATATTCAAATTTGAATGACCCTAAAAAAAATTAAATAAATAAACACAATTCAGGCTTTTAATTTGAAGGAAGGAGTTATTCTCCAAGCCCGATTCTGTGAACAAAACCGTTCACGTCATCGTTTCACAACTCCTTTTTCTGTGCTCTCTTTAGGTGGCCGAGAGAGCGCTGTACTACTGGAACAACGAGTACATCATGAGTCTGATCAGCGACAATGCAGCCAAAATCCTGCCCATCATGTTTCCCGCTCTGTACCGCAACTCGAAGACACACTGGAACAAGTAAGCTGTTTGACTTCAGCAGGCATCTGTAGGAGCTCTGTGTTCCTTTCATTGTGACTCTCACAGGAAAACGGCTCACACGACCTTTACTGGGGTGTGTCAGAGATGACCCGTCAGTAGGTGTTTGTGATGCATTTTACTGACTTTTCCTCATTTATGTCTATAAATGCTTTAATGTACCTAATTTGAAATGTATATTCGCAGGACCATCCATGGCCTCATCTACAACGCTCTGAAGCTTTTCATGGAGATGAATCAGAAGCTCTTTGATGATTGCACACAGCAGTTCAAAGCAGAGAAAAACAAGTACGCCCCAAAGTTTTTAAGCTTATTACCTTTTGTCACCGGCAGGCGGCATTAAGTCAAATGAGTGACAGGAATTGTGATGTTCTGTTAAACAGGGAGAAGGCAAAGTCAAAAGAGCGCGAAGAGGCTTGGAGCAAGATTGAGAATCTCGCCAAATCAAATCCACAGGTGAGTCCATTCTGCACGTCGGTTCTTTTTCACCATGAAGAAGCAGCAGCTGGCAATGGAGCTCCCAGGTTTCCCACCGAGGTGCAGATGTTCTTCTGCATTAGGTGAAGATGATAATAAGACTGCTGGGGTCTCATTTATCAAACATTGCGTAGAATCCTTACTAAAACCGTACTTAAGCTCAGCAAAAAAATGTACTTACGCCAAGTAGGTTTGTGATCTATCAAACATGGAGTACGCACAGCTGCAAGCAATCTCCGCTTCATAAATAAGAAACTATCTAGAAAGTTTCTCAGCTGCTTTTTAGTCACATCCCGCCCTCACCACGCCCACTTACTGCCATAAATGGTCGATGCAAAGTGCATTGTGGACCTCATGCATATAGATAAGCCAGCTTGTTGCAGCATTTCGATCACGACCGCAGACCAAGGAAGCGCTATTTCACAAGCAGAAATTCAGGTACCTGTGGGTGAGGTGGAGAAATGAAAGGAAGTGCTTTTGCAAAACAAACAAGAGTAAATCCACGGAGTGGTACAGCGTTGCTGAAGCCGTCAATGCAATCGTCCGAGATCTGTGGCGGATATAAAAAATATGACCCAATCGGGATTCGATCCCCAGACTTCCGGGTGAAAGTCATGCGCGCTAACCAGTCAGCCAAACAGAGATCTCCCTTGTCCATGTAGCCACGGCGCATGATCAATCGGGTCACAGTGACAGGACACACTGTCACAGACGCATGACATTCTGTCTCAATCTGTCCCCCTGCTGATATTCTGCATTCTGTATTCTGCGCTTCAGGCTGTGTGTGCATGTAGGGGTTTTGTTCTGTGTGAAAACGAAGCAGTACAAGTGATAATGCTGCAGGATTTCATAATTTTATCCTCAGCAGCACTGCAGGTGCTCTCCATGTCCAAAATGTGCGTAAGGCAGGTCCTTAGTCAACTTAAAGTTGCGCACATTTTTCTGCTAAGTTTTCTTTCATAAATCCCAAAGTTTGCGTGGAAAGTTGCTTACGCAGTTTTCTGACCCCGTTTTGTGCGTAAGCAAGCTTGATAAATGAGGCCCCTGGTATTTAGCGCCATGCCGTGAAAATGAAAAAGAACACAATGCTCTAAGGAACAAGAATAACTGGATCAACATTTAAGTTTTCAATGTTAAGAGAAATTATTCTTAATATTACTATAGGTTTGAAATATTAACATTGCTTTTTATGCTAATTATGAAAAATGGGACAAAATGACAGAATAAGAATAAAAAGTAACTAAATAATAATAATAAAAAGGGGACCCAAAAATGTCTTGAAATGTATTGGTGTTTTTCTGATTTCAGAAGCTAAATGTTAAATATGATGCAGTTTTATTTCAGTGTTACCTTTAACTTGTTTTAGTTAAAATGTAAAACAGTTTTATTGACACAACTTTTTTCCCTTTAGGTGTAATATACATGATAATGACTCAAATCTCGGGGGGGGGGGGGAGCAGCTGATATCAAGTTGTAAAATTTTAAATGCATTTTTGCACAGATTTAATCAAAATCTCTCACGGTGGTTTTCTTTTTTGGATGTTTAAGGGCAACACCACTGTCTTCTTATGTAAACTCTATAAAAAAGGAATCTTTTTCATCTTAGCAAAGTATTTTCTATTCTTTATTTCATCTTCAAGAAAATGTAACTCCTGTTTAAATTTGAGACATAAAAAGCGGAGACGTCTGCTGTTTTTACACTCCACAAGCAAATAAATTAATCCCCAAATGCACAAAAATCCCTTATTTATTTATTTTTTTCTAAAATAATTTTTATTCAAGCCAAATTTTTGGGGTTGTTTTAACTCCAAAAACCTCATGGAGAAATTACTTTCTTCACAGATCAATAACTAGAGTACTATAAATCAAATTTCAACAATATATCGTCGATAAAAATCAGGCTGTAAAAACAAAATCACTTCTTTGCAACTGAAAATCTTTTTTCCCATCTTTTTTTGTTTTGTTTCCCCTTCTTTTCAACGTAGTTCTTTACACATGTTGATTCCTCTGACCTCTATAGTCCTGTAGCAATGGAGACGGCTGTCCCTTTGATAGAAGATGTTCAGAGGTTAAAAAAGACAGTTGAGGAGGGCGCAACTCAGGTAAACCTGACTCTCTGTGCATTTTGATATATACGCTTGCAGAGTTTCCTTATTAAGCTGTTAGTGCTCTAAATGTTATTCATCTAAATATATACATCTTTTTATATTTTCTACTCTAGTCCAAAAAGCACAGGAACAAACATTTACATAGGCAAATAAACAGAAATCATTAAACCACAGTGTGTTATATGAAAAAAAAACATGTATAAATAAAATAATTTAAGGTATATAAATATGTCCCTCCTGGGTGAGAACATGCCCAACACGTATGAGATAGATGGGGGCATCACCTGACTGACTCGCAGCATCCATCCCCCCACACACTCTTAGAATGTCTCCATCGGAGAAATGGGCCCTTAACAAACGCGCGCGCACACACACACCGCTCTGTTGGACGAGCTGACAGAAAACTGACTACATACTGTAGGAAAATATGGAGCCCAAGTCTCCTCCCTTTCCAGTCGGCTCATGGGTCCCCGGAAGAACGAAAAAATGAATGCAAGTCAACGGGGCTCAAAACGCAATTTTCTAACCCGCTTTGCCTTACGCCTTGGATCACTAGGGTTGGGAATCGTTTGATTTTGAACGTTTCCAATTCCTCTTTTCGATTCCGGTTCCTATCGATTCCCGATTCCGATTCTTTCAAGACATGACATGCTTTACATGAGCCAGCTAACCACAGGTCCTACTTGATGAAATATTCTTAACTTCAACATGAATTTTAATTCTATGAACAAAACATCACCTTCATTTAGACAAAAACATGTTTTGGAGAAAAAAAGAAAAAGACTTGCAGCACACCCAGTGTGTTTGTTTCTGACCACAACCAAAGTAAGGAAGAAGCCTCTGGGATGAGAGGCTAAATGTCTCCAACATATCTTTAGGTTACTGTCGTAACCCCGGTTCTCTGAGTAACATGAGTGAGATGTCTCACTATGGGATACGCCCCTCTGCGGATTCCTCAGAAGCACTTATCTCAATACCCCAATCCTGATTGGCCAGTGATCGTGACGTACACGTCACCTGCTACTATAAGTAGCAAGCGTCCCAACGCATGCATCATTCAAGATAAACACCTCGTCTCGCTTCGCCCAGCAAGAAGGGTTGTCTGGTGAGACATCTCATTCATGTTACTCAGAGAACCAGGGTTACGACAGTAACCTAAAGTCCTCTTTCTTAACGTTTGTTTCAATGTCTCACTATGGGATATGGAGACCCCCGTATTGCCAGACAGCTTATCCAGCGATCACCAACCTACAGGGGTACATCTTGCCCCGCTGAGGACCCCACACCCAGAATCGTGTGGGTCATTGCAGGGACCGAAATTTCAAACTTGTAGAAGCGTGCAAATGTGGAGAAGCCCAACTTACTACAGCACAAATCTCCTGGACGGACAGCCCCGGAAAAAGGGCCCAAGAAGCAGACAGGCCCCTAGTAGAATGGGCCCTGAGCCCTACAGGTGCCTGAATGCCCTGACAGGAGTAAGCCAGAGAAATAGCCTCCACAATCAAGTGGGAAAGCCGCTGCTTTGTGACGGGTTTCCCCTTACAAGGTCCATCCCATGACACAAAAAGCTGGTCCCCCCGCGAAGGTTCCCTGTACGATTAACATACCCTTGAGCGCGCGAATCGGACACAGCTTGTACAACCGCTCCTTCTCAGGAGAGGAGAAGGGCGGTGGGTAGAAAACTGTGAGGAGAAAAGGAGCCCACTACCTTAGGCACAAAGGCAGGGTTGGGCTTCAGGTACACCTTCATGTCACCTGGTGCAAACTGGGTGCAGGATGGGTGCACAGAGAGAGCCTGTAAGGCACTAACTCGCTTTGCAGATACCAAAGCCAGGAGTAGCATCACCTTAAGAGACAGGATCTTAAGGTCCAGGCCGTCCATAGTCTCAAATGGAGGCCCGGAGTGGGCCGACAGCACCAAGGACAGATCCCATGAGGGCACCAGGGGTCGAGACACAGGGAGAAGCCTGCGTGCACCCCTCATGAAGCTACTCACCAGGGGGTGTTGACTTGCCAATTTCTTCCCAAAACCCAAGTGTCTGGCAGAAATGGCTGCTAGATACACTTTAATGGTGGAGAAAGCCTTCTTCCCATCCAGCAAGTCTTGCAGGAAAGACAGAATGGCATTCACAGGGCACTGGGAGGGTGAGACATCCCTGCCCTGACACCAGGCTTCAAACACCCTCCATTTACAGTCATATAGGGACCTAGTGGAGGGGGCCCTGGCATTCTGAATGGTTCGAATGACCGCCTGGGGCAGCTCTGCTGACCCTAACCCGCACCCCTCAGAGCCAGACCCACAGGGCCAGTCGTTCTGGATTAGGATGGAAGATTGAGCCTCTAGCTTGGGACACTAGGTCCCTGCGAAGCGGCAATTTCCAAGGTTGGTCCCTCCAGGAGCTGGAAAATGTCCGCCACCCAATGCATGGCTGGCCAGTATGGGGCCACCAGAATGAGAGTGTGGCGTCGAGTTCGTACCCTCAGCAAGGTGGGTGGTATCTGGGCCACTGGGGAAAAAGCGTAAAGCAGGTTCCGTGGCCATTCGTGCGCCAGCGCGTCCACGCCGAGTAGAGCGTCTCGGTCGCACAGGGAGAAAAACAGTGGACACTGAGCATTCTCCTTGGAGGCAAAAAGATCCACTACGGCTGTGCCGAACTGGATCCAAATCTGTTCCATCACTGCTGGATGCAGACTCCAATCCCTGTACAGGGGAGTCCCTCTGGACAACAGATCCGCCTCCCGATTCAGAACACCCGGGACGTGGGTGGCTCTGATTGAGAGGAGATATCTGCTGCACCATAGGATAAGTCTGCGTGCCAGTGTGTGTAACCGCATGGAACGCAGCGCCCCCCCCTCCCGGTGGTTTATATCAGCCACAGTCGTGGTGTTGTCTGTTCTCAGTAGGACATGATGGCCGGAGAGAAAAGGCAGGAGGAGGCCCCCCCACCCTGACAGGCTCGCATCTGTCATGACCACTTTCCTCACGAGAACCAACCCCAAAGGCATCCCCTGTGCCAAGAGGGAGGGGTGACGCCAACAGCGGAGCGCCGCGACGCACGCTACAGAGACCGTCACCTTGCGCGCTCTGTGGCGCACTGGAGAGTCCCAGAGAAGTTACCAGCGTTGAAAATCTCGTGTAGACGACCGAGTGGTACCACTGAAATAGCCGACGTCATGAGACCCAAAAGCCTGAGGCACAATGCAAACCGCACCGAACTGTGTAGGCAGAAGCGCGCCAGGCAAAACGAGAGCGCGTTCACGCGTGGTGCCGAGAGACGGGCTGTGAACGCCCCTGAGTCCAGATTCAGACCTAGAAAGGTTATTTTCTGGGAGGGGAGTAAAGCGCTTTTCTGCCAGTTTATTCTGAAACCCAGACCACACAAGTGATGGATCACAACCAGCATGTTTGATGTTGCCTCCTCTCTGGACCGTGCCAGCAGGAGCCAGTTGTCTTAAGTACGTGGCCAGCCGAATGCCCTTCTCTCTCAGAGGGGCGATCGCCGCCTCCGTACACCTGACAAACACCCTCGGGCTCAGCGAGAGTCCGAAAGGGAGCACAGTGTATTTGTAACACACTCCCTGAAAGGCAAACCTCAGAAATTTCCTGTATGGAGGGTAGGGATGGGTTCCTTTGACATTTAAATCAATTTGGTACTAATTCCCGGTACCTAGGAATCGATACCGGTAATTAACGGTACCAATTTTCGATACTTTTGAGTGTTTATTATTTGAATTCTCTTTTTTAATTAAATATATATTTTTCTCAATATATAACAATATTTGATAAATATCACGATAAATAACATTCAACCGTTTGTATTTTAACATTGTCCTTGTAGTTTTATAAGCTGATAATTAAACTGAAGCAAACATCTTTACTGTGAATCAAATTTACTGAGTATCTTCATTCCTTTTGCCGTCCTTTTACATTTGATTTTTCCTACTGGGAAGTTAGAATTTCCGAGGAGAAAGTGAACGCACCATTAGCTAATAGCAATGGTGGCAATGGAAGCTAACATATCAAGCTAACGTTATCTTAAACTGTTTATTTAGCTGCTGGAGCAGATTAAAACGATGATGCCTCACACTTAGATCGTTGTCGCTGGTTTCATCTTCACCCAATCACCCGTCGCATTTAGTAAAGTGAAGCCAAACTTTAGAGCGCGTTCATGTTCTTCTAGCCGGAGATTCGGAGTTCCGAGGAGAAAGCGAACGCACCATTAGCGAAACGGAAGCTAACATATCAATCTAACGTTAAACATTTTATTTACCTACTGGAGCAGATTAAGATAAGGATGTCTCACTTAGATCGTTGTTGCTGGTTTCATCATCACCCAGTTACCCATCACATTTAGTGAAGTGGACCCAAGCTTTACCGTGCATTCTTTCTACCATGGTGCTCTGTTTACAACTGGCTCGCAGCGAGCGATGACATAACGCTCTTGCGCATGCGCAGCTGTCTTGGCAAGTTCTCGTTATGAAGGACGGGTACCGAAACGAGGCACCGTTTCATGGACGGAGAAACCGCTCCATCCCTGGGAGAGGACGGAAAGCTAGGCATGGAGGCCTGAGCGAGGGGGAGAAAAACATCGTCATCCTCGTCCTCCTCTGAAATGAGGAGTTCCGAGGTGTCCTCGTCGTCTCCGTAATCCAACTCCAACACGTCCTCGACGGGGTGGCTTGGAACGGCTGGTTCGAGCTGTGAGCCTCAGCTGTGTTTGGCACACGGTTCCGGCTCCGGGAGGGCATGTTCGTCGGCGTCCCCAGGCGGTGGCCCAGGGGCCGGCAGGCATGGGTCCTTCCCCGACAGGCTAGCTTGGCGAGCTAGCTGCCGGCGAAGGCTCTTCAGGGTGAAGCAAGCACAGCTCTCACATGACCCAGGGACTTCCAATGCTAGCTGGGCGTGCTCCAGCCCGAGTAGACCTTGTGCGGGTCCTTGCTCGACATTTTGTTCCCACCGGTCCAGAGACGAGCTCCTGCGCCATCACCTCCTC